TTCGTATCCAGCCGCAGCTAAAATTTCTCCTGCAATAACATTTGAATATAATTACAAGAATTGATTTGATGATGTTTTGTAAAATAATAGCGTCAATTGACTTCTAAAATTTGTTTTTTCCACGTAAAAGATTCTCATTAATTTTTATGAGTAATCACAATCAATCTGGTTTTCCTGTATTTTTATGAGAATCGAAAAATTTCCCAAACAAAAAGGAATCTGAAGATGAAAAACTCTTACCAAATATTGTAACGTAGTGTCCCTCGATGTCTTTATCGTGTGCACCAATTGTTATATAAGAAGAGACATTACTGTATTGCTTAAGTAATTGACGAATGACGTCTGCTTCTGCATCTGAATTGAGGATTAACAAATGCGCATCTTCAGTTTCACAAGTCATTTTTGCTTTTTCCCAGGTCAATTTCTCCACGTGTACTTTGTAGTATCCTAGGCCTTGGAATTCTTTATACCCGGGACTAATTGGTGGTGGCGGCCCTGTAAAGATATTATTATTATTATTATTATTATTATTATTATTATTGTATTTGAGGATTTTTCAAAAAAGGTAAAATTCGTGCGCAGGCGAAGAATGTTGATTAATCCAGTTTTCTTCTTGGAGTAAACTGCAGAATCTACTCCGCCCAATAAAATTTCCCCCAAAAGCGAGGTAACCATAACGAAAAATATAAATAAGGAACAAGCGAACCTAAACAAAAGTTCCGAAATTCCACATAAATTCTGCTACATTTTTCATAAATTCTGCATGGAGCGATAGGAATTGAATTTTTCACACTTAGAAATTGAGGAGGAACAGCGCCCTCCACTGCACACTTGCCTTGCAGCATGACGGGTAGGGAATGAGTTAGCACTCTCCCTCAGGCGATAGTAATCACAATGAAAACGAGGAAATGGGATAACCCCAGCAAACACTACCGCGGCTCGGTATTGATTTCATTAAATTGTTCACAAATTAACCGGTATTTTAAATCCCGGTTAAGTCAAATGTAATGAAAGTGTGCTCGCAATTGCACCAACATTACATTTTACCCTACATTACAGTTTGATTTCAGGTGCGCGTTGCCACAAAGGAGAAATAAACATAAGGAAAAAGAGATTGAAGACAAATTGCAAAATGCCTACAATCCTTGCCGAGATCCAGGTTTCTTCCCATTAAATTCTTCACGTATCAATCGATATTTTAATCCCTAGTAACGATAAATCGAAAGGCAGTGCGATCGGAAGTGCAGATTTCCCCCTACCTTCAAGCGTGACGTCCAGGGTGTGCGTGCGCACTCCCTTGCATCGGTCGTGGCGTTTCATCATGGTTCCCCTACCTTCAAGCGTGTCGTCCAGGGTGTCCGTGCGCACTCCCTTGCATCGGGTCGTGGCAGTGCGCACGTCCAATAGAGTTGTGGCGAGTTGCGCGGAGACACGGTTCTCTTCCGACAGGTGCAATGACGTCAGCAAGTGGCCACTAGCGTTGCGTCGCGATGCAACTGTGAGGTGCGCCCCTCTTACGGGCCTGCACTGGCCTTCTCCTGTCTCCACTGCCGCACCTGCCCCCGCTTGCTGCCCCGCACCCAGCAATGCTGCCAGCAAGCACACGGCTCCATTTAACCTATAGGTGGTTAAAAATTCATTCGTGAATATCAAATCTTCTAATTTTAAACAATTTTTTGCTTATTTAATCGGTCACAGCCTTAAAATGAAGAACCCTTACAATACCCCCCCCCCGAATTTAATTCATATGGAAAGAGAAAGTTGTAAAATTTAATGCGGAAATTGAAGTATTAGAAAACGAAGGACTTTAGATATTTCTATGTCTACCAGAAGCAACGTGGTTCATGACAGTGTGTGTGTGGTAGAAATTCATGTGTAATATGAAAAATATTTTTATTTTAAATAGTCTGCAATCAGTGGCGGAAGATTGTCAGGAATCAACATCAACATAGTATAAGACTATTGCAAGAGTTGATGTGGAGGTCACTTGGTATAAAGTACGAGTAGTACGTATAAAAATTTAGATCAAGTTATTGAAATGTGTAAATGCGAAGTCAATTGAGTGTTAGGAGCGGATTATTTCTCAAGCTTCATGAGGACAGTAAGTCGAACCCTTTGAACATGTCTTTGGAGATAATTGAAGTACTTTACAGCTAGTCTTGCGTCTCTCCTTTCACATCCAGCATTAGGTACCGTTTTGAACTCACCTCAATTCTCATTCCTAAATGTCTCGTAAGACGGCAGCAATACTATAAGTAATCAACTCAAAGTTTTGTATCGGCTACAGTTCCAATGGAAAAGACCTTGTAGGGGAATCAATATACGAACATTCGTTTTGTTGATTTGAACTTTGTTTTGAATATTGTCATTGTCAAGTTGTGTTTCAGAGAATTTGGCCATCTATATCTCTACTAAATAACTTCATATTTTTTGTGGTTTCGGGTTTCAAACCCCGCAAGCTGTAAACTAAAATTAAAAATTTTAGAACACATTAAGGGATATGATCCCTAAAGCAGTTACAATGTATGGACAGATTTGATTACAAACCACTCATTGACGGTAATATTTCCTTTGTTCTTTTTGAAAAAAATTAATTTAAGGTTTTTACATTGAAATATAATGAAGTGACGGAGATTTTTAATTCATTTTAATCCCCAAATAGTACCTACGAAAGGAAAGAGTGTGCTAGCCACAACAAAGTTCGTACTTTCATTTTAAAAAATTTAAATAGCGAATGTCAGGAGTGCAGAAAACGTTTCCAAGTTCTCATAATAAAGAATAATGTAAATATTTGATCGCGATTATTTTGAATTATAAAATATTATGAAATCAATATATTTTCCGAAAATTAAATGTTAATAAATTAAATTATGCTCACGTATGCGTTTAATATCAGGTATTGTCTTGCGAAGTCTTGCATCAGTAGCATTTTTATGTTGCTACTATTATCAACACTTGTTGACAACACTATTATCAACACATTGTATATACCTTTGTTTATCATATTATGTCGAAGAGAAGTTGAAAGGTCAATTGATTGAACGATTCCGTTCGTCAGTTATATTACCAAACAGGTTTGACCTGCTGGTAATTCGCCTTTTTCATCCATGACCTAATTAATGATGACACTCTAACCTTTAGAAATATATCTTCTTTTGACTGAGATAGACTCATATGTTCAATGTGATAATCTTTGTGCTTATGTAAATCACCTTAAAAGATAGGATTAACATATCTTTGCATGTATTTGGCACATGATTATCTTTTGTTCGTCCTTACCACCTACTTTTAGGTGATTCCAAGCCTGCGCCCTGAATTAAATGCAACGCCTACACTACGAATAGGAATGAATTGATAAGTCAGCCAATATGCAAACAACGTTCCCTTCAGATTTTGTTCATTGTCTTTTTTGGCATCTCAGAATATGGCCATCTACATCCGCCATTCTAAGTTGATGGTTTTTATTTATTTCCCACTTTAAAACGGACAAATGTAAGTCCATGATTTAACATTTTGAATTATACATTGAGAGTCATGAAAACAGTTATCAAAACATTAACAGATTCTTTGACAAAGCACTTAGTCGAAAGTATACTCCGTTATGAAAAAGTGCATACTTTGATTTCTTGGTATTAAGATATACATCAGTGTCAGGAGAAAGTGAGAAAATCTTTCACTAAGTCATCATAATAAAGAAAAATGCTAATATTTGACACAATGTTTAGCATGTAAATTTTCGTCATGAAAAGTCAGTATACCTGATTATCAAGAAATAAAGGCGAATAAAGAGAATAATATTCACGAATGTGTTTAACATCTGCTGAAATCTAAACACTTACCTCAGAGGCATTTTGATGTTGCTAGATATTATCAACACGTGTTTAATCATTTTATATACCTTTGTTTATCTAATTACTTCTAACAGAAGTTGAGAGGTCAGTTGATAAAACGATTCCTTTCGTCAGACGTATTACCACATGTCTGACTTCGGTGATAAACTCTTGTAATCCCTACTTCAATTGGTGATGATCCTCCAACATTTAGATAAATGTAGCTCCTTTTCACAGAGCTAAATTCGTATTACTCAATACTCGTATGACGAAAGTTTTTGTTTATGAAAAGATACTGAAAGACCAATATTAAAGGATAGTTCTAAATGTAATAATTTTATGTTTAAAATAGATTTTTTTAAAATTCTAAATTATATTTTCAATTTATAGTGCAGAAAGAAATTGAAAAAAATACCAGTAGCCTAATAAAATTAAACCAAAAACTAGTGCTAGAAGGAGAAAATCGCCGAATTTTGAAACTAGTCATGATTGTTGGTTGGTACCTGTGATAAATAATAGCTAGCGCTTCTTGAGCCTATAACTTGAAAATAATTATTTCTACAACAGAAGCTCTTACAAACTTTTTTTAGAATATTTTATTTACTTTTATTTTCTGTAGAGCATCATTTTTGGTAGGATTAATAATTACGGAGATACAAGCAATGAATGTAAAAAAAACTTTAAACGGCTTCACGCCTCGGCTCATCTTCAACACTTCGATTTTTAGTGTAATGTGCGATAGCAACCAACGGACAATCCGTTGGTAGTTTCAAAACTTCAAAATTGTTTTCACTCAATGTGTCTAATTTGACTGGGCTATATAAACAGCCTGCGGAATATTGAGAGTTGTCTACGATTTTGACAGATACTCTGTGAAAATTCAAACACATCAAAATGTTTCATTTCCAATTCCCGCAGGAAACTATACGGACTGGGTAATCATTATATGTTTCATTCATATGTAGTGCATTTAACGAAATTTCTGAAGTACTTACATCCTTGAAAATATTATTTATATTAGCAAGTTGATGATGTTTCCCCTGCATGTTTACGTTTAAGAATTTTTTAGAATTTGAAATTTATGTAAGTAACACATTAAGTATTGTATATCTTCCAAAATATAAAATATAAAAACACAGGAAGAATTAGGTGAGAAAAAATTACTGAAAGTATATTTGTAAATCGCAACAAATGTCGATATTGGACTTTATTTCATAACCATTAATAATAATATAATTGTATTCCAAAAGAAAGAATTTGTACAAAATTATATTCCACGAGTGAAAATAATCTTACATCAAATTGAGATTCATGCCTATTTAAGTTTCTCATATGTTTCCTTTTTTTATTTTCTCCTTCTGTGATCTTTTTTTAATTTTATTTCTTTAAGGCCTTAAAAATTAGATTGTTCACAACTGTCTCACTTTCCTTTGTGTGATTGGTACGTTTTCAATTTGTATAATAGATCTTCGGAAATCAGGTTTCCAGTGCGGGTGCTGAAACATTGTTGGGTGAGGATTCGATGTTCCGTCAGATGAAACTTCAAGGAACCTTTAGATGGTACTACACGTTCTGTAATCATATTTTAATGACAGTAGTTATTAATACTATGAGTATAAAATGCTTGTGTTTTGCACGATCAAAGTTGAGTTTTTTACGGAGACTTCGAAGTCGAGGCAAAAAGTACAATTGAATTCATCACCTCGTTTGATAAAGCATTACAGCATGGCAGTTTTGAATAAACATTTAATTTGTACTGTCACAGCATCGTTCAAAATTTGGGGTATTTATTCTACACCTGTATTAAAAAGGTAGGGTCTGCATATTTCTATTCGCAAGTGAAACATGTCATATTTTTATATTAATTTTAAAAAAAGACGTTGCCCAGACAACTGTCTTGTTACCAGGAAAAAAGGAAATCACGTATGCAAATATAACGAAATATATTGACGTATCCTTTAATAACGCTTCCGCACTCGAGGCCGTATTTTGCTATTCCCCGAGATATAAAACACATTATTTCAATATCAAAGTACAAACTTTTTCAATATTATAATTTGTATGCGGTCGAAGAAAAATTGTCGTCCATATTTCGTGAACAAAATGGGTGTTTTTTCATGGTCGAAATTGATTTGGTGGAGGTGCACTTAATATGAAACTAACTAATTTGTACTATGCCATCATGTTTTCAAATATATGAAGACTAACTCCACGCACGCTTGCAGTGCGAAGCATCGTTCAATTATATACAATCATAAAAAATGATTCATTTTCTCAAGTCTTGTTGGCCTCTGGTATATTAACCCACAATTTGTTCGCAAACAAACGGCGCCTTGAACGTCGTACAGTGCAGATCATTTAGCCCCATGGTGGACACGTACACAGATCCACAGTTCTCCTTCCCACGGCTGTCGGGCTGGTTCTGCTGCCAGCGAGCGTAGCCGGCTGCTTCCAGCGTCTCCCCTGCAAAAACACGCAAACACAAACTGATGCAGAATAGTTCACGTACAGTATAAAATTGTATTTGACAGTTTTTGCGGAGAGGCAGCGTTTATGCTCTTTAGAGTGCTTATCTGCGCTTTCATTTACGCACTTCACGGGAAAAACTAACAAGTGTGCAATGTCGATAGTTGGTTCCGGTCTCTCGAAGTAATCGCCTATTGTTGATTAAAAACACGATAAGTTACTACGTTAAATTACTACGCTTACTTCGAGTTTACGCTAAACAGTCCTGAGAATGGCCTGTCAGATCATGTTCTAAGATCTGACTGAAAAACTGAACTATTAATTGTAGACAGGTCAAATCTCGCGTCTTCTTAATTAAGTCTTAAATATTAAAGATATGTTGTGCAGTAAGAATCACTATATCGTATATAGAGATGAACTCACTTTTCAGCCTCTTCTCTTGCGCGAACTCCGAAGTTATGATGGAGTTATATCGGAAAAATGATACATCATTAAAATGACAAGTGTGCGATCACGTGATTCGAATCATGAACGGTGCGTCATGTGATCACGATAAATCACTTTTTAGCAACTTTAGAGGCAGCAATTTCCTGCTAATGTAATATTGTTACGGGGCAACATTATTATGGTGGGTAGCTGGAGTCAAAAATATGCTAATTAAAAGGTTGTGGCATGATGGAAATTTAGCATTAGTTGTACCCTCTGACGTCACCGGTCGCTTCAGAACTATTTACATTTATCGTAGTCTTACATACCGACAAGTTGTGGTAAAAGGATTTTTACACTTCCAACGATACAAGTCACTTGATTAATTCATATCGTACGTCATTTCATTTTGCGATACAGCAATATTAACCCTGCGGTACTCGCTCTAGGACTCCAGCACATGTGGTGATCTCTCATATGCATCATTGGGTTTTAGCTTATCTTGCTTCACAAACCGACTATTAATTCTTTCAGGCACATACACAAATGTAACTCATTTAATAACATGTAAATTATGTGTCTTTATTAAAATACACATTTATCAATAATAAGAAAACGCTATATGTTAAAAAGTTGTATTAGTTGTAAATGAACTACACGCTCCGGCCTTCAATAGTATGTTGCTCTGTACACGGTTTGATTGAGATTATTCTGGTGACGTCAACATATGTCCTATTGGCCCGAACTAACATTTAAACAAAATAATAGAGAGGTTCTGTGAAAAACGGTATTCGGAAATTTTATGACTCTCTATCAACGCGGGAACAACTCGTTCATCTGGGAGATCGACCGCTTTTGCCCCGGAGAGTTAAACACAGAATAGTGTAGTCTGGTACCGAATATGGTCATGTATTTGCCCTCCTTGGTGACGTCGCGGAAGCCCACGCTGGCCCAGGCGGCGATGTTCGGGAAGCGCCGGAGCAGCTGGCCCACGGCCTGCGCCTCGGCCTCCGAGTTGAGGACGAGCAGGTGCGCGTCCTCGGCCTCGCACGCGCCCTTGGCGTCCTCCCACGACACCAGCTCCTCGTGCACCTTGTAGTAGCCGAAGCCCTGCAGCTCCACGTAGCCCGGGCCCGCGGGCGGCGGCGGCCCTGCGCAGCGATGGGTTCTGACGTCACTACTGAGCACAGCCGCGTCGAACGACACGGGAGATGTTTAACGAGCGAATTCTCTAGTGTGAGATCGTTCATATATCACGAGCGTAGTTGAACATTGCTTTAAGCAGAATCTGTAATATTTGCTATTCGTTGTACTTTAACAAATTTGGATAGTTATGTTATGTGCATAGAGGACTTACTATTTGTGCATTCGAAATTACATAAATGGTTCTCCCTCAGACATCGTGTTTTTATTACGATGATTGATTGCTCACGACAATATAAAAAGCATATAAAAACCATTATTCACACTTTAAATTAATGTAATGAAGTCAGGGACAGAAAGTTTTCAAACTCATTAAAAAATCGCTTAACTTCCTCTAGTGACAGTAATAACGTCTTGGGTATTGTCGAGAAAGAAAAAGAGAAATTAAATGATTATAAGAAAGAAATTACAGCAGTAGAAGGTTGTAATACAAATAACCAAAAAATTAGCAAAATAAAATTAAGAAGGAAGAGAGGACAAATATAATGTAAAGAGAAAGAATAAAGAGAAAAGGAAATTGAGTATAAATATTATTTAGACAGGGATAAGATATAAAATCAAAACTCAAAAAGAAAATTAAAGGAAAATAAAGAAAAAGAAGAGAATATGCATGCACAGAAAAAGAGGAATGCAAAAAGGACGAGAGGGAGAACAAGTGACACAAAATTGAAAAAAATTCAAAATATTTTTGGCGTTTTCCTACAACTACACTTACAAAGATACACTTTTTTGCTTAGTGAAATGTGTTCATCAATACCAGATATTTAAATAAGGTCAAGTTCATTTTTTCAAAACATGTGTATTTTTTTGCAAAATTTTGTGTCAAACATAGGCAATTTTTATTTTCTTTAAACCACTTTTCTTAAAAACCGCACAACATTTTTTGATTAAATTGGCAATTTAGATAGCATAAAGGATTGTTAAAAGAATGGTGCAGGTCTCATCTTCATTGAATAGCGTAATTTTGCGAAAATTAAAAATAAAATCGGCGTCTTCCTACAACAATTGTGAAAATACAATATATTTCACAATGAAATGTGTTCTTAAAAAGCATATGTTCAAAGGTCATGTTAAATTTTTTGAAAATATTAGTTTCTTTGTGTAATTTTGGGACAAATATAATAGCCGTCTCGAATTGACTTGGCTTCATATTCGGCATCTTCTTATAAGAAAAATTGTGAAAATACATATTTTTCTTAACGAAATGTGTTCATCAAAAAACTTATCTTACTTTCTCTTTTTTACGCAAGTAAAAAGATGGGATAGTTACGGGAGAAAGAGAAGAAGGACAAGAAGGTGAATGAAGAAAAACAACAAGGTAAACGAAGAAGGTCAAAGAAGAAGGTCAAAGAAGAAGGTAAAAGAAGGTAAAAGAAGAATGTAAAAGAGGAAGGTAAATAAAAGTGAAAAAGAAAGAGAAGGAAATGACAAAAGGAGAAGGGCAGAGAATGAAGAGAAGGCGCAGAAAGCAAAGCGGCGACAAGGAGGGGGGGAAGGGGGAGAGACCTTGCAGCGTGACGAGCAGCGTGTCGTGGCGCACGCCGGCGCAGCGCGTGGCGGAGGGCCGCACGTCCAGCACCACGACGGCCGGGCGGCTGGGCAGGCGCGTGCGCCGCTCCAGGCGCAGCGCGGCCAGCCAGTGGCCCGTCGCGTTGTGGCTGGTCGTCACCGTCAGCTGGGCTGCCGTCGCGCTGCACCGCCCACCCGCCACCACCGCCCCCGTCCCCGCCTCCGCCGCCGAATCGTCCTCCGTCCCCGCCGCCAACGCCAACACAAGCGGCGCCAGACACAGCGCTAGACACCGTCTGGAAGAAAGGAGATGCTTCATGCTGAGGTAGCACAGCGGTAATATCGTCACATTGCAACATTGTTGACCAGATGTGAGTTCTATCGGTGGCGGATTTTCCAACCTAGCTGCGTCGAATTCAGTAACTGTATGGAGAATTCTAGCGACGGGACTTTCTGATCTGTCTCAGGGTCTTTGACCGGCGGGTCCTAGGGTTCCAGCATCGACGTTGGCAGATTATCGACAAGAGTTAGATTGCTAGGCTGAGTTCAGCTTCTTTCTGAAGGAGAATTGCAGCATTACCAGGCAAAAGAAAGATCAATACTTCATCAAACGGGTCACGGGATCGCAAGAACATTTTTCTTTCTTTGCTTTGTCTCCTCTCCTCCTCCCCTATTGCACACACACACACACACACACACACTTAAACTTACAAGCACTACACTAGCACATTTATTGGGAGAGCAGTGTCATTGGAAGGGCTGCGTCAGGGCTCCGTTGGAGAATCGGCATCTAGGTTGGCACCAGATGTTATATTTCAGCCAGTCAAGTATACAGCCTCATCCCTGGATGTAACATTTACTACTCTCACGGAACTAATCTCTTCAGTAGTTCACGTATTAAATTGTCACTCAATCACAAGACGGCTATTGTTTTGGCGCCAGGCAACTTACTAATGTGTGAAGATAGAACACCACTGGTGAATATCTACGTGAGAATTTCAGTTATTGGGAGAAACTTGTTTCATGAATGTCTGTGATTTTCTAGGGAAGATTTATTATGAACACTTCTCTCGCAAATAATTGCTGTGCTTTTAAATTGCAATACGGATAGTTCACGGACGACATAAGATATAAGGAGGAGAGACGACTATTTACGATATCAACAATGTACAACAAATTTATTTGTGACGTCTACAATTTCATAGAAATTTTCAGGGTATTTCGCAATATAACTTAAAAACAAATATTTGTACTTTTGAAAATAACTCACGAAGAAGGCCTATTATAAGCCCTTAGGTCTTCTATTTTAAATTATCATCTAAGCAATGTGCAAAAAGTAAGGCTGTCCTTTCCATACACACACACACACACACATCAGTGAATTGGTAAAATCTACGATTTGATCGGATTACAGGAAAAGAATTATACACTATGTAAATCTTTGCTTTCTAAAATATTATTGACTTAATTCTTGCGGTATAAAATAAAATATGCAATGAATATCACTGCGCAGGTATTTATGTTAATGTAAAATTTAAAAAAATGGTCTGTCTTGGACGTTCTTCAGATACTTACTGTTAATGAATATCAGCCCTGATAGATCATAAATGATAACTTACAAAATGATTGAATGGACTTACCTGTAATTCATCTTGAATTTCAAAAAATTGAGACATTTCTTCGTCATCATTTTCACCTTTTATACCTTTTGTTATCATGACACATTTTTAATAGGTCAGTGTTTGAAATTCGATAGTGAAAATAAATCACTAAGTTACAAAATGTTTGACCCCCGATAACTCGTATTTGGTTCACATTGATTGCAGCGTGTTCTGCATCTCATAATTGGCTTGTTTCCAAGGCTAAATATTCAAAACGAGATATAAAAAGAATGTGAGCATATATGAACCACGTTTTAGAAAATGCATTCCTTTTACCCCATCATTACTTTAACCAATTAACATTCAATGATACAGAACAATTTTGTAGTAATCTTACGAAATAATGGTAATATTACGTTCTTTCCCGACTCATTGCTTCTTTTGTTGTTTGATTTCTGTCCCACTAGGCACAATATTCCCATATTTTAGGCAATAAAGATATGAACTACTGTTCTTTATAAAGCTTTTTAAACGACCGGGATGTGATATAAAGAGTAATTAGAGACATCAATAATTATCAATGAGAAATATTTTTATTGAATAAAAATAAAATCAATCGCACTACATAATTTACTAACTCTCATCTGTTGTCACTGAAGACTTGTGTCTTCTAGAATTGAAAAATATATTCAATTTTACGAGTAAAATTCGTTTTGAATTTTCCGAAGTTTCTTCTTTCATTGTAGACATGCATTGTACAATATATAATGAAATAGAAATACAACGTTTCTTTATTAAAAAGAAAAACACCTTCAATTATTACATAAATTGCTCGCAGACAAAAGGTGTTCTGTAAGTAGTGCAAGGCAAGTCATTAAGTCCCATGGTTGCCGCGTGAATAGAACCGCAATTTTCGTTATTGCCGGCATTGTCAGGCTGATTTGTGTTCCATCTCGTGAATCCAGTTGACGCCAGAGGTTCACCTATAAAAATAGTCAATTCAATGAATCACTAAATTATGTCCATTCGAATATTTTATATAAGCACATTTACTTCACAAATTTGATATGATAATAAATCATAATAAGATAGATAATAAATCTTAGTAATTAAAATGAAATGAATGTTTTATCAATATTTTCATAAAAAGTCATTGTTTTCTTTTTTACAACGTTATCCGAATTTCATCTCATCATTAATTTTGTGATATTTTGTCATTATTTTGTAAAATGCATACTTGAGCATTAATATACCGTTTTTCCTAACGACTATCTTCTATTACATTATTGATTACTGAAAATTGGGGCGCGCCTTACATTTGCAAATTAAGTCACTCCTAAAAGCAATATGCCATATTCGCATACATATACCGCATACAAAATTCATAAATGTTATTCCACTAGTCGCTCTCAACAATGTAATGATTCCACATTGTTACAATTAAACAGATATTGCTGTAATACCTAAATACTAAACTCACAGGAGTGATTAATTATTTCGTGTTGCTGAACGCGTCAACGGCTATGGTCACTGGTCCCGAATGTGTAGTGCATGAGTTGCATTGCATGGATACCACCTGCAACAATGTGCTCTTGGTATGGCCTTCTGTTATAACGGGATGTGGCGATGCTGTTTTTCCCCGCTGGATGGTAAGATCCTGTGTAGTACATGTCGGCTTGTGGACGTTTTCCCCACCAGTAGTGCACCGCCCCGGCAAAGATTCCGACTTGACGCAGTTATGTGTGGTAGTGAAGCGCGTGAAAGTAAGTATGTAAGGAAAGAGGATAGGACAAGAAATGGGAAAGAACGATCAAAAACTGTACATGGGGCTCGAACCCTAGGATATCCTGTGATTCTGGCAGTTATCTAGTCAGAGACTCTGTAGCGACGTCAATTAATGGCCCGACACCCCACAGCTGGCAAAAGCTCACAAGAAACGTGCTTACATACATGGATACCACTAGCAACAATGTGCTCTTGTTAGGACGGTTTAGGTGAGAACAGCAAATGGAACGGACAAAAGTGAAATTTAATTGTTTATATATAATAAATAATTCTGTGAAATCGTTTCGCGCTATGGGAATATGGTATTGCTCCTGAAACTCGATATTTTAAAGACCTGTTTTCGTCTTCTAGAAGGCGACTTACGTTTAAATTCTCATTACATTCGAATCCACAAGACAGTTGCATAAAACGATTTGACGTGAAAGCGCTCACCGAAGACGGTGACGTAGCTCCCCTCCTTGCCCTTGTCGTGGAAGCCGGCGTGCACCCAGGAGTTGACGTTGGGGTGCAGCTTGATGAGCTGCTGCACGGCCGCCGCCTCGGCCTCCGAGTTGAGGATGAGCAGGTGCGCGTCCTCTGCCTCGCACGCCACCTTCGCCTCCTCCCACGACAGCTGCTCCTCGTGCACCTTGTAGTAGCCCATGCCAGCCACCTCTTCGAACCCCGGGCTCGGCGGCGGCGGCGGCCCTGCCGAACGGGGATACATCGTATAGCACTCGTGGGTTCAAATAGTGGCACAACTCAAAAACAAAAAATAAAAACAAAAACAAAAAACAACAACAACGAGAAAGAAAAAGAAAAGAAAAGAAAAAAAAGAAAAGAAAAGGAAAAAATGTTGAGTTAATCTACTTTCCTTAATTGCAGAAGGGTCTACCTTCCATCAGTAACAGCAGCGTATCAAACAGTACAGTATTCCATCAACAAACAGCAAAAGTGTGAATGCAGAAATGATGCATTTCAATACAAGGTGAAACTTTAAACTCATTTATCTCAGCAACTGATTTTTTGAATTGTGTTACTAATGCAGCCCACGAAGAATAGAAGTATTTATTTACCAATTCATAACGTGAACATTACGCCGCAAGCGGAGGCAAGCCGCGTTGTAGACATGTGTCTATTCGTGTTGTTCGAACCCGTGTGTTTACTTAGCTTACATTTCGCTATTGTCTATTAGTTAATTCATTATATATCATTTATTAAAAAGTATAAATAAACCAATTCTTATCCATTTACTCTTCTAAATCTATTAAACAATAATAATACTAATAATAGACAAGCAAATATATGAGTAGTAATTTATCAATTATATTAACGAACACCATAGATTTAACATTACGATCTAACTTACCATGAAACCTGGATTAACATTATTGTGAATTTACATAAATTAAAACAAAATACTTGTTAGGTTATATCAACTTTTCCACATTTCGAATCGATTGCCTTTGCCAATATTTCGAGGCGGATATAATGTTCAAGGTGATTGTTCTCGACGGCCGACGCTGCTTTGTAACCTAGTTTGTCAATGTTTGGGCCAGGCATGTCCATGTCACGGACAATGCACTAGCTTTCTGGAGTTCGCTGGCAATGTGACAAAAGCAATGGGTAATGAGATTTAAAAGCACGGATTGTACAAAGCTTCGGAGTCACTACGTCACTGTATACCTGGCACCTGACAGGCTTTTGGACAGTAATTACAGTCAGTTGACAGTAATTGTCCCAAAAGTAACGTTCAAGGTGATTATTCCGGGTTAGCGACGCTACTTTACATTCGTGTTTGTCAATGTGTAGGGCTGCGCTCACATCGGCAATTCTCTCATTTGACAATCTGGTCAGTGTCAAAACTCACTTGCAAAACAAAAGAAGACACAGAATTCATTTGTTCCCTGACCATACAAAATGTTCCTTTCTTAAATTGATTGATTATTACATGTTTTCGAGCGCCTCAACTGCTAAGGTCACTAGTACCGTACGTGTAGTGCAGGTTTTATCGGGAGAAAGCGGTGACCTTCAGCATTGGATGGTAAAATCAGGCGCAGACCTTCATATCGGCTTGCGAAACTTTCCCCAACCAGGTATCTCACCCCAGCGAGGCACCACCCCAGCCGGGGCACGCTCTAAGCTCCAGACTGATCTCCCGACATGTGCGGTAGTGTGGTGCACGTTTGTATAAGTGTGTATGAAAGCTGAGGATTGATCCGTGGCTCGTTTGTAGGGTACTGCTTCGGCATTCGTCCGGTCGGAGAAACCATGGAAAACCACTTATCAGAGCAGCCTTCTCCTTTAGATAGCGTCTGAATTCAACCTAGCTATGTAGCTAGTGACGAAAATTCTGCCACAGTCGGTCTCCGAATCCCAGGACTTCCCGATCAGAGGTCCTGCAGCCCCTGATCCACATCAGCCACCTAAGCCGCTGAAACTACTTTAAGAAGGGACCGCTTTGACATCTACTGATGGCAACATAACTGCGCGTTAAGTCTATGCGCTCAATTAGTTAATGCTTTAATGTCACTCATTTGGCAGATTGCGCACTTTTAAATAATTTCATTGAATCTACGAGTACCTCTATCAATGCCATCACTCGAGATGATTTGCGTTTGCTTCCTGACCTGAGAAATCGGTCCCTTCTTAGAGTAATTGAAGGGATGATCGCAATAGTGGCCTAAGCTACATTTTAAGAAAATGAAGAAAAATCCAATTATAGTTACTTAGCCGGGTTGCGATAGAAAGAGTTGTAAAGATACTTAATTCTTAATTTCTTCTTCCTGGAGCCTCTTTCAGCTTCAGAGTGTGCCGATTTCGACTAGCGGCACCGGATACCGACTTTGTGTCTCATAGGGACACATGTGAACCTTTACACTAGCCACACATGCGGGCTCCTGGGTCTGTGGTTAGCTGTCTCATAAGGCCCTCCCCAACAACACTCATACATGAAAGATAAGGGACAAACAACCATGACTCGAAGGGCGGGTCTCGAACCCGCGGCCCTTCGGCTCAAGGTGCTGAGTCGGCACCCGGTCTATCCAGGTCGGCCATTAATAACTTTATAGAGGAAAATTGTCAAACAAACAATTTATCTACCCGAATTGGCCAAGCCATGTATTAAGGTCAAACATGTTAACTGAGATCACAATATGTTAAACCTAAGTATTACACCCGTATCTGTACTCTCTATTAGTTATCAACTAAGTATTAACTATTGTTAAATCAATGCAGCAGTTTTGAGTCGCTAAAGTCGATACGACTATAAATTATAAAAAACAATGTACAAAGATTCCCCTTTCTTTGATCACAATAACTTCGATAAACTGGAAAAAGCTATAATCAACGGCGAAAAATCAAATCTACATTCTCAAAAGATTAATTTAAACCGCCGTAAAGAGAAGTGCTTGATTCCCCAAACTTACTTTCGTTCCAAATTCATTTCTTCCTGTATTTGTAACCTATACACATATTTCCCCCTTTTCACCGAAGTCTCAAATGGGAGAATCCTCGCTTTCCTGTTTGTAACTCTTAGTACTACGCGTGATAAGTTGCAGTTCTATTCACTCTCATTAAGCGCTTGCCTCGCTGAATGAGAAACTTTCAAAAAATAATAAACATAAATTAAAAAAAAACTTTAAAATATTTTAAAAACAAAATTTTGAAATATGTTTTAAAATATTTTTAAAAAATTTAAAAATGTATTTTAAAAATTTAAAAAAAGTATTTTTTAAATTTAAAATATTTAAAAAATAAAAAAGTACTAAAAAATTTAAAAAAGAAAACAAACGCATTCTAATTTTCTCAGGAGTTCCAAGTATTTCCTGTGATGAATCTTTACATGCTTTGGTCATTTATTTAATATTTTTGAGGAAAATCACGGTCAGAAGTTCTCATCTTCAACGGAAAATAGTATCCATTTCGCGCCAGTGAAGATGTGTTTGCAATGTTGTCATCTGTGCACGTTGCGAGCTTTTGTCTTCAACTGTTTATTGTATCAGAGAGGGGGAAGCATGGTCATCGTTCAAGAAAAGTTGCTCGAGTAATAACAATAACTCGTTTTTCATTTTGGGGCGTTAGACCTCTATTGCGCACGGCCCTTCCACGTCTCGCACGAAGAGCGCGGGCGGCGGCGCACCTTGCAGCGTGACGAGCAGCGCGTCGGTGCGCGCGTTGCCGCAGCGCGTGGCCGACGGCCGCACGTCCAGCAGGATGACGGCCGGGCGGCTGGGCAACGGCGTGTCGCGCTCCAGGCGCAGCGTGGACAGCCAGTGGCCCGTCGCGTTGTAGCTGGTCGTCACCGCCAGCCGGGCGCCGGCCGACGTGGTGCAGCGCGGCCCCGCCGCCGCGCCCGCGCCCGCGCACGCCCACGCACACGCACACGCCGCCACGCTCAGGAGCCTGCGAGCAACCATTGGATTGATTGATTGAGATTTCCGGGCGCTTCAACTGCTATGGTCATTGGTCCAGTAACAGCAGTGTATGCAATATACCGGGAGGTGAGGAATTAATTGATTTCTTTGAGTTTCCGGACTCGTCAACTGTTATGGTCATTAGTCCATTAAGTGCAATACGTGGTACATGTAAGGGATGTAAGATGTACAATACGGGATGTAAGATGTAATTTCCCCGATGAACGTGATATCCGGCGCTGACCTACAAATCGGTTAGCTGGGTTTTCCCCCTTCGGATATCTCCGCCAGCGGAGCACCGAGAGCTCTATACTCCCAACCTGGACGAACTTTAAGCTCCCGACACGTGTAGTAGTAAGATGCGCGGCACTGTGTGTGACTGTGTGTAAGGGGAGAGAAGAAGTACGAAGATGAGGAAGGAAAGATCGGGCGGTCTATGAGCCGTATGTACCAGAACTGGTACAGGAACTCCATCGGCATTCGCCTGGAATTGATCTGTGAAACATCGGAAATTTGCTGATCAGAGTAGCAGGCTGCTAAAATTCGACCTACTTATCTAGCTAATGTCAAAATCACCAACCGACAGGACTAAAATCCTAGGTCCCTCTAAGAAACATTGCCTCAGGAGAGAATTGCTCAGAGGTATCTTAGTCACAGCCACCAGTCACAACAATCAAGCAAACAATCATTCAACTAATGACTATAACATCAACAGCTCCTTTATTGCAAAGACAAAATATAACGTTTAGTTAACAAGTAAAGTGAAAGTATCAAACCACAAATTGAAATGATTAAATATGTTGTTTAAAATATGAAATTCTCAAGATGCTTCCGAGAATTATTTTCCTATCTTCAGCGAGTCAACAACTCTGAAAATAATTCAATGTGTGTAGAAAAGGTGTACAATGAAAACAATATAATAATGAAATGGTAATAATTGACATAACTAAGTCAAATAAAATAAAATACCTAAGATGTGGAAATAACACTTAAACACGTATTATCTGATAATGAGAAGTTCAAGGAAGATATCATCTTGAACAACAATGTTGCGAGATGGGAGTAAGGGAGGGTAGAGGAAAAAGAAAGAGTACGCAAACATTAGTAAAGTTAAAGATTTAAAGTGGAATTACTTTGTAGTTGAGAATTTTCATTAGGTTTTCTAAAAGTTGAATTTTTGTTTCGTTAACACTGTAAACACCGGCGTTTTTCATATTGCCCAGTTCCGAGGGCATAGCTATAGTATTGCATACTATTGATACACATGGTAATGTCTGCTTCTGCCAATTATGTATATAAACGAAACACACATTGATACATATTGTGTTTATAACTGATACTGAAGACACAAGAATGTATTTGAGATTTAATGATCATTCACTGACAATTTTCGTTCACTGACACTGAACTTTCGTTGTTTTTTGTAGCATATTCTCGTCACTGATTTTCAAATTTAGTATCACACTCTTTAGAATGTAGCTCTACTGACTACAATACAATTTTGAAATAAAATTCAACGTTTTACGCAATTAAAATTTTGTTTGAATGGTCCATAACTCCCTGAGTTCTCACTCGGTAAAATAAAATTCGGAAGCACTCATTTCCAATAAATGAAAATTTGAAAGCATAGGTCACTTTGAAAGCTACTTACTCGCTACGGATTAGAGATACTTTTCGGCAAATAAACTCTTAAAACAGAGCCCTGGTAACGAAACAGTGGATAAATCCAGTTGCTAAATTTAGAAAAAATCCCCTATCACGTGGTATAGCTAAAACCTATGTATTGTGGGTCTTTGCTACCGAAAAATCGAATTAGGGTAAAACGTCTGTCAGTCCGTCTGTGAACAACGCTAGTTGCTAAATCGTTCAGCCGATTTCTCTAAAATTTATTTTTCCCAATCGATCCCCCGCGGCCCCTTAAATTTGAAACTGACATTTGAATTTTGAGGAGGTACTAAACATGAAGCTCAGGGGACATTTTCCAACTTTTCAAAAATATGACTGCATCGATTTTGATTAACTTTTGTTGCTGGATAGTTGGAAGAATGTTGAAGAGAATGGTGCAGGTCTCATGTTCGTTGAAACACTGATTTTTCGAAAATTGCAAAAGTTCAACAATTTTTCAGCGTCTTTCTACAACTAAAATATTAATAATGGAAATATTTTCCATTAATGAAATCTGCTTCTGAAAGAAATAATTTGAAATAAGGTCATGAACAATTTTTCGTAAATTTGAGTACTGTTCGCGTAATTTTGCGAGAAAATACGGACGAGAAAATACATGCAGTTTTAGTACCACTATTTTAGTATATATATATATATGTCGCTCCCTGAGAGGAACATAGTACGTATTGAAATTATGCATATGGCGCTCGAAGTATTGAAAGTGTTTTGAAATAAGTTAGAATATGAAGTTAACTAAAATAATTTGATTATTTGAAATCGAGAATCTGTTCTTATCGTTATTCAAAGTATCGTTACATGAGAATTTGATAATTTGACATGTTGAAATGCCACTAGCAGAACAAATATATTTGTTCTGCTTGTTCTATATTTGTTCTTTTTGTGGTATTTCAACATGATATGTATCTATTTTAGTACTGCAACGTCTCATCTACAGGAAAATCAATAAACGAACTTTCCCAAGACTTCCTGAGACTTCAGAACTTAGCCACGTTGTAGAGGAATATGTATAATTCATTTTGACCCACACTAGTACAAATAATTCATAAGGTGAGTGCGATTACATTTTGACATTTTCAAGTTGATTATTTTTTTTAAATTTGAAAATATTATTTTCCATAAAATCACTTAACAAGTATGATATCAATAAATCTACTTTCGAGTACAATTCTGGTATTACCCACTGTATTTCCCTTATGGAAAAAACATTTGATTTTACACCTTTATTCAAACTTAGTTATTTCATTAATTAAAGATAATCATTAAAAATACAAGATCGAGTGGGTAGAAAACATTTCTTGGATGAATGCACTTTCTTCCCCTTTCCACTAACATTAAGACCAAAATATTGACATGTCAAGTTTGATGTAAAATATTTTTTAATGTTGAGTGTATCCATTCCTGATATTTCGTTGCATTGATATACTGCTAATTTTCATCAATTATGTCGAAAAAATAAAATTATTGAATGCAAATATTGAGAAATCGAATTCAGAGAAATAATAAGCAATTTGGCTTCAAAATTCATCACACTAATGTAGAAAATACTTCCCCCTCGACAAGGTATTTTAGGAAGGTGGCAATTGTGGTTAACGTACAGAACCTATCCTTGATTTTTGTTACAATTATTAACTAATTTTTCTTCTAAGTATTTGTACAGAGAATAGAAAAATGAAAATATGTGACTGCTTGTAAGTTGATATGGTGAATGGAAATATTCAGCGATATACACAAAATTGTATGTATGATTTTATCTTAAAATACGTGTGTCTGTCGATATCAATTCATTTCCATCAAAGTGGAGCATGGATGTTTTATTTGATACTTCATTAAATTACCCACACGTTATATAATAGATGTCATTATCTTAAATTAAATCATATGGTTTTTTATTGTATGTATATCGGCGGTAATATGGGCATCTAAATAAATTGTGAAAAGTATATAGCAGATATTTTGGTTCTCCAATTAATTTGATCATACGTCAGTTTCTCCGCAATTCTGCGATCCATTTAAATTAATTACCACATATTACATTATAATTTGCCTGTTATGTTTTCCTTGATATCAAAAGTACAAACACAGATGATCTTATTTCCTTACAATGACTCCAAAGTAATTTTAAAATTGCTCTGTAAAAGCATTTCTAAACTTGTATAGAAATTAAAATTAAACTTTAATGATATCAAATGTATTAAAATGGAATGAATTCTCGATCAACTATAAATAATAATTTTGTAGTTAGAAAGGCACTGATTTTAAAATACGAGCTTATATACAGAAAATTTGCTCGAAAGAAAAATGTGATGACATACCTGAAAAACATGTTGAAATCTGTCGAAATAAGATAATCACGTGGGCATGTTCCTTACCTTTTATACCTTTTCGTATCAATTTAAATTCTAATAATAGTAGGTTCAAATGTCAAATAATGACATTGCACGAGGCGGGACTTCCCAGCGTGTTACTGGGACTGACGCTCACCCCAGAGATAACCCCATGTTACATCGTAATAATCATATCAGCTTGTGATAGTATGTATTATAATATTGGCCTTCGAACTATTGATGTTAGTGTAACATTGAATTATCAAGAGCGGTTAAAAAGAGAATCCCGCACCACTTAATATCTGCGATTAATTAGTTTTTTCAATCTTCCTCAATGGGTGACGTTGATTATCAAGGATGCAGAACAGAAACCGGACTTGAAAGAAAGGTTCAAAAGAATAGATAAATTTTAATAAGAGAATCTCAATAGAATTTATTCGTAAATTGGCTACTAAGAAATACTATAACAGCAGTCAAAGCCCCTAAGAGGCCCCGTTTATTATACGGGGTTAAATATTCTGTTTATTGCATTATTAAACGCTTTCCATTTTCAACAATCTGTCTCAAAAGCAAATACCTGAAAATTGTATTTGTAAGTTAATACAGAGATTTCTAATTTCAAAATATCGTAGGGAATGATTTAGGATTCATCTTCTCAAGTCGCGTCAGTAATTTTACTGACAAAAGCATCAAGTGGTGAATTACATCAAGTGGCGTAGCTTCACTTGGTGACACTCCGGGCAAAAGGTACCACTACCCTCCGTAAAATAATTAGAAAATTATCTATTACTGATGGTTTATGGATAATTTAATGAAGTGCAATTATATTTACACATGACATTTATTTATAATATATTAAAAGCTTAAATTCAGAATAATTGATATACAATTTTTAAATAAATAATCTAAAAGAAAGTATAAATAATTAACAAATGCATGTTTTTCATACAATCACTTTTCGAGAATTAAGGGCGACAAACTTATCTATAATTCCTAGAATTACCTCCTATTTTCATCATCCATTTACCCATTAAGATAAAGTAATCGATGAAATCAAGACTCTTTGACCATTGAAGAATAGCCGCATATCCGCTCATAGTTTCGCGTTTTAGTTTGCCTTCTTAGTATTCATGATTTGAAATTATAACTATAAATTTATATATATATATATATATATATATATATATATATTAAATAAATCATTAAAATTATGTAACTCCAACTATAAACTTTTCTAATTGGTGTAATACCCCTAAAATAGTGTCACCTGAGGCGCACCGCACCCCCAACTACGCTACTGATTACATCATTAATAGAGTAATAATTTACTTCCATACAGGGTGAAGTCTACTATTTTATAAAGAACATGAAACCAAATGTTGTGAACGGTCTATGATGCAATTATCGAAGAATATCTCAATGAAACTGAGCAAATTTACTTCCAGCAATTTTAAGGTAACAATTGTACTTATTAAAAAAACGTAGGGCTTCACTAATGTACTTACAGTGCATAAACAGCACAACGGACTTGATGTTGGAGAGGAAACACACATTTTCTACTCAGATAGCCATCGAATAACCATGGAAGTATTTCTTTTAATATCGCCTGGACAATCCTATCATGATGATGGTCATTGACTCAGATTACTTTATCAGGGTAACTTATTCACGCAGAAACTTTACAAGCACTTTCATTGATTTTATCTCATTAAATATTTTACATAGTTTTATTTTTTTACATATTTTACACCCAGCGGGTGATCATCGCCTTCTGCTGCAAAAAACATTGTCTACGCATACGGGACTAATGATCTTAGCAGTTAGCGTGCCCGGAATCTCTAATCAGTGAATCAATCCAATAGAGAGAGACACAGCGAGTCAGAAAACGTGTGTGGTTTTTCGCAAACATTATTTTCTAAATACTGGTAAACTCTACGGGAAGAAACTTGATCTCAGACGTTCGTAGACTCAATGAATGAGTAGTTCTTAATGGAGTGGAAGATCCTTCCATCTTGTTTTCGGTCGTCCAAAAGACCGATAAACTTTAGGTTTATATTGTGTTTCTTCATTTAGTGTTTTAGATTCATTCATTCTCTGTTCGTTGTTTGTCCATGAGTTTCTGTATTCTTTAAATTTTTCATTTAAATTAAATGTCCCTTACTTATTTATTCATATTCAATTTCTGTGTTCACGCGTAAAGCTCAATAATCTCAAAAATCTCATTTCGACAGCCTCAGTACTGCTATGTAATTTCATACTCAGTAACTACGTTTCGCTCCCATAGTTACCAGTTGGTACATCTAATGATTTATGAAATTTTAGGAAAGTGTCTTTCCTTGCCTCGTTTTTTAGGGTTCATTTAAGAAAAGGTCTGACGGTCCTATCTAACGTATTTTAAATTGACTATATTTCTGACCCTTTGCCTAAGAAATTACTTTACTTAGAACTTTGACATTTTCTCTGCATTTTTTTGTAACTAATCATTATTTTACATAAGCTGACTTATTTGAATAGGATATCAAAACACCGTTTTACAGAATTGTAAAAAAATGATTGAAAATAATTTTAAAAATTAGAGACATGTTAATCTATAATTCTAACAATTTTGCAATCTATTTCATTATTTCGGTTAAGGAGCTCAGTCATGTTTACAAAGTTATCTTGAAAATGTATTATTTTTATCTTAAATAGTTACTGCGTATGTTTGTAGGACGCATCTGGCAACCATGTTTGATATTGAAACGTGAAAATAATGACTACGTGACCTTTCATATCCATGAATGTGTGGACATTGAACATTGAATATGCATCACTTTCATTGAAGAATATTCGTCGTCACATAAAAGTGAAATTATTTTCCATTTCTGGCCGTGAGTAGACAATTTACTTAGTTGATTTCATTCTCTTTTCAGTTTAAATGGAAATTTGTGCTTTGCTATGTGAATCGCATACCAAACAGGTTCAGTAAGCACAGCTTTTGGATATCGTAAAAGGAATAATATTTTCCTCCTTCTAAACACGTCATTTTCAAACAATAGCCGCGTAGCGGTAGCGTATGCTAAAAAAGAACACTGCCTCCCCGCGTGTGAGTCGACTCGCCGAAAGCGATATATCGATGGCATTTTCGGCGCAGAGGCGCGCGCCTTCTCTGCCTGCAGGTCGCGGCTTGCCTATCGATCTTTGATCTCGAAATTCTGGTCGCGGATCGTTCCTCTCGCGCTGACAGACTTCGTAATGGGCGGAGGAGAAGAGGCGAAGAGGCTCCTCAGCATTGTTTGAAGAGTTCGTTCTTTTATACTGAGGCTAAATGCGTTTTATTAGAAGCTCGTTCCGCCGAGATGTGTGGAGATACTTCGCAACCTGCCCCTGCTCTTCAGACGTCTGCGAGGGGCAATAAAACACTTGGGTCTCGGATTTTTGTTCGCGTTCAATTTAAACGCCTTTGATGCTGCGTTTAAATCTCTTTCAGCTGCTCGTTATTTTGGCTAATGTTACGTAATTGTGTGGATGAAGTAATTTAGCGATCTCCATGGTGTTATGTTTTATGTTATCCGTTTCGAATAGGTTATATGAATATAAAAGAGTAGTTGAACTCTGCTAGGGTAATTTAAAAACTTTCTTTTGGTATGAAAGTCGCGTTGAATGCTATTTCTGAATTAAAACTTAACGTTAAAATAATGTAGTTGTCTTAAATTTTGGAACATTATTTCTAGACATTAGACAATGTCTCTGGCTTACACTTTCTTACTCTCTCTCTCTATTTCTACCTCTCATTACCCTCTCTGTTTCTCTCTTTCCCTCTTTCTCTCTCTCTCTCTCTCTCTCTCTCTCTCTCTCTCTCTCTCTCTCGCTCGCCCATTTTCTCTCTCTTTCTCATTCGTTTTAGCTTCCGTAATGCAGTAATCACATTGCGAGTCACGCTTCATCACCTTGAAATTCACTACCCTTGTCTTTCTTAAATTTTTACTTTCTCGCTACAGCTTACGTAGTTAGTGCAGAATGCTGCGGGAAAAACAGGCGAATTTTTGGTAGGAAAACACTTATTACAGATCCCTAGATAAAAGAGTGGATAAATCCAGTTCTTTTATCTAGAAAATATTTTCTAGCACGTGGTGTAGCCATTATCAATGTTGTGTGGGTCCTTAAAAGCAAAAAATCGAATGACGGGAACAGATGTCCGTCTATTCGTCATTCTGTGGACAACGCTATCGGCTAAACCGTTCTGCCGATTTTCTCCAAAATTGATATTCCTCAATCGATCAGGCTGATGACGAAGATCCTTGAACTTCAAATCGATATTTTAATTTAGGGGGTACTGTACATGATGCCTTGGGAAATTTTCAAAAGAATGGCTTCAATGTTTTTCATTAAAGTTTGTTGTCATATAGTGTGAAGCTGTTTAAGAGGCCGGTGCAATTCTCATTTTCGTTAAAAACAGTTTTTGTCGAAAATTGGAAAATTAAAAAAAAAAGTTCCGTTTCTTCCTTCATGGACAATTATAAGAGGAATATTTTTTCCGTAATGAAATCTGTTCCTCAAAGATAGATTTTGAAAAAAGTACATCACGTGCTATTTTTCGAAAATTTGAGTACTTTTCGCGTAATTTTGCGCGAAAATACGGACAAAAAAGTATGTGCTACTTTAGCACCACTAGTATTTTTCATTGTATTGGATTTGTATCTGGAGACAAAAGACACGAACACATACTTGGTAGAATGAAGCATTTTGTGTGTTTATCTAAGCTGCCAATTTATTATTAACTGATTTTTACAACCACAACACTTTAGAATAAGAATATATTCCTAATGTCTGATATTGTGTTGATCTCCTCTCCCACATTTGGATTCGTTCAGCGCATTCAGAGTAGAGCAGAGCGGTACAGAACAGGGAGAGGGGAGAGGGGTACAGTCCTTGTAAGTGCGTGGCATGCTGTGGCGTGACAAGGAGAAACAGGCAAGATAGGACAGGACAGGACAGGACAGGGCGAATGGTGCGAGGC